CGAGTTCGAAATCACCGTCCGGAATAGGTCGGAGGGGGATTTGCTCGCTGCTGGCCGGTTCATCTTCGTCAAAACGGGCGTCGAGCGCAATGGAGTCGACCTTTGGTGGAGCCTTCTGAGCTTCTACCTCAGGAGATGCTGTGTCGGGCTCTTGCTTTGTCTTCTTGACGGGCCTAGTGCTGGGACCCACGTCGACAGTATCCCGACCCCTTGAAGCGGCGTTGAAGCACCGGCGGGCAGCAGCAAGGTCGCCCTGGATGGTGGCTACCCTCCCCCTTTTGGTATAGAACTTCATCTTTAGGTGGACAGTTGAAGGGACCGCTGTCAGTTCTGCCAGTGTCGGCCTCCCCAGGATGCAATGGTACAGGGATGGGCAGTCAATGACGAGGAAGCGGACCTTCACCTGTCTTGTAGCAGTATCTTCCCCGAATGTCACGAGGAGCTCGACATATCCCCAAGGTTTGGACGTCGAGCCGTTGAAGCCTTGAAGGTCCGAACCTATGTATGGAGACAGATGGGATTCGTCCAGTTGTAAGGTCCGGAACAGCTGGGTGTACATCACGTCGACGGAACTCCCTTCGTCGACCAGGATGCGATGGACATCAAAATTAGCCATCTTCGCCCTTATCAGCAAGGGGATGACTGCGTTCGGTGCTCCGCCGGGGAGCTCTTCCAAGTAGAATGTGATGGGTTCTGACCTGCCCCTCACCATTTCAAAAGTCACAGTTTGAGGAGGAGCTTTGTCGACCAGTTCGTCCAACTTTCTCTTGGCTGAGTTGATGGTGAGGTCGCTGAACCCGCCCCCGTTGATGACCATGGCGGAGGGGAAGTATTCCCACCTGCTGTGAGTAGTCAGGGGCTCCTGCAGGAGCTCGGGAAGTTCGAAATCCTCGGGCCTGGTTATTGCGTAGGCGGTCTGGATTGGCACCGACTCGTCAGATGGTCGGGCATCTTCTTCAGGCTCTTTTGCCTCACGGGCTTCACGACGGGGAGCGTCGTTTTTCCTGTACTGCGCAAGTCTCCCTCCTTTGATGAGGGTTTCAATAGCATCCTTCAGGTGGACGCAGTCCTCTGTCAAGTGACCATGACTCCTATGGTACTGACAGTACTTGTTTTTATCTACTCCTGGCTTGGCAGGAGCTGGTCGGGGACGCTTGACGCCACCGTCCTTGAAATCTGTGCTTGCACACTCCGCCAGAATACGCTCGCGGGAAGCCGTGAGCGGAGTGTACTCAGTAAACCTGCCCGAGGGGCCCCTTTGTTCCCGGACCTCCCGGGGTCTGTCTTCCTTCCTCTTCTCTCCGGTGCGTCGGGGAGGAGGGTCTTGTCTCGAGCTGCTTCCATGGTTGCGGGCTCTGGAGTCCCGTGCCCTGTTGGCAGCTTCTCTCTCCTCGTAATCCATATATGCTCGAGCTTTGTCGAGGAGAGCATCAAAAGTTGCAGGTGGCTCGATGCCTACAGCTTTCCTGAATTCGGTGCCGGGGAGGAGGCCCCTCTCCAGCAAATACCTCTTCATGTGGTCCGCGCAGGGGACCTGGATCGCTTCCCGGTTGAAGCGGTTGATGAATTCCCTCAAGGTCTCATCATGTCTCTGGATGATGGCCTCGAGGGCTGCCTCTGTCTTTGGGTGGCGACGAGAGGCTGTAAAGGAACTGATGAACTGGTTCTTCAAGTTCCGCCACGAGGTGATGGAGCCCGGGGCAAGTCCTTTGTACCAGTCCATGGCCGCCTTCCTGAGAGTTGTTGGAAAGAGACGGCACTTGATTGGCCCCCCGACATTGTGATAGTGGAGCATGGCTTCAAACCCGTCAATATGGTCGACTGGGTCTGCCACCCCATCATACTCCTTTAGGTGTGGGGGCTTCTCCATGCCCGGGGGGATAGGTGCGTCCATGATTGCCTGCGACAGGGGACCGCGGGGGTCGTCCTCGTCGCTCCTTTCTGGAGAGAGAGAAAGGGTCCTGTAGTTGTGTCGGGCACGTGGCTCGTGCTGGGATTCCCTTGAACGTGATGTTCGGTGGGCGAAGGTCACATGTCCGTCTCTGTTGTGCCTCCGTTCGTGCCTTGAGGCGTCGCGGACAGGCTCTTCGGCAGGGATGACGGGCTGTCTTTCGTATTGGGGCCGCCTCTGCCTTGGTGCGGGAGAGGGGCTCCTAGAGAGTTCCCTGTAATGTCTCCGCGGGGGAGTAGGGTGTCGAGCTTCTTCGACCCGAGGAAGTGGAGATGGGGGCCTTTGATGTCTCCTCGGGGGGCGTCGATCATTTTCCAGTGCCCTAAGTCTTTCTCCTTGTGCGAACAGGAGATAGTTCGTCTGGTTGATGGCCGCGAACAGTGCCTGAGCAGTGGCATCTGCTCCGACAGGGGCCTGGACTTCATAGAACCGGGCAGCCTGGCGATAGGCGAGAGCTTCCGGATCGTCTTCGAGTTCTGGGGGAGTTGTCGAGGAGGACGCAGTGTGACCGTCCCTGCGGGTGGAAGGTCCAGGGGCGGTTGTCAGGGGGGCGGCATTGTGGCCGGCACCACTGGGATTGTCCAGGTGCCCATTCTTGTCCGCGGGACCGTTGTTGACGTCGAGGACGCGAGTGTGTTGCTCTTCACGAGTTGGAGAGGCCATGACAGTGAATGGATTGAGCTTTGGTCTTTGAAAACTGTTCGTTAGACGGGGAAGCTGTTTCCCACAGACGGCGCCACTGATCTGACCTGATCAGAAGGTTTGGACCGTCACGGCTGCTCCGAGCTGAAGGCTTTTTGAACGAGGAGGGGGGGGGTACCTGCAAGGCACTCCGATGCTTAAGTCAGTGGGAGTACTAGCAGATAATAGAGTTGAGGTTAGAATTGATGATTACCTGACCCTCTGGAAGCAGAGGGTATTTATAGCCCCCAGCGCTGGGCCAAGGTTCCTTCACTGGGCCGGGCGGATTTGGCCCAATGGAGGAACTGCCAGGTCCTACGTGGGTAGTGGGGATCAGCACGTGGTCCCCTTCCTGGATGTGGTGCGTGAAGTGCGGGCGGACGGAGACGCGGTCTTTCCGGAGTGTCGTTGGGGCAATGGAGGACTAAGTCTGCCCTAGCAAGGTAGCTCGACGCCAAGTCCATGTCGAGCAGTGCCGCATGATGTCGAGCTCGACGCCAAGACCCCGAGCTGGACAGCGAAGGTCGAGCTGGAAGCCAGGGCATAGAGCTGGGCGGCAGTCCGTCGAGCGTGACTTCGTCGCGTGGGGCTGACACACTGAGATGTCGAGGTGGACATCAGGGTGTCGGGCATGGACGTTGTGGTCCTTAGTGAGTCCCATTGGATTGGGCCTTTGCCCATTGTGGTCCTTAGTGAGTCCCATTGGACTGGGCCTTAGTAACGCTTTTGGGCCTGTCGGGCCCAGTCCAGAACAATAACAATACACCATAGTGGCGAATTTGTTACTGAGGACATGACTGTTTACGAAGGAGGTGAGATTGTTAACTTGAGAGTAAATGTTGATAAGTAGAGCTATTTTGAATTAATAGGTGTTATTAAAGAGTTAGGTTACGTAGATGTAGAGAATATATATTTTAGGAATCCTACTGCTGGGATGAATATGTTGGTTGATGACAGTGGAGCATTATAGATTGTTGATCTATATAGGATTCATCTTAGTGTTGAAGTATTTATTCAACACACATTGTCAAAGCCTGATTATGCTGATGAGGCTGAAGTTGTGTTAGATGAGGTGTTGTACCCCAATTTTTGACCTAAGATCCCATTTTTGTTTTTTGCATTTTTTTAAGATAAGTCAAGGTCACGAAATACGGTTGGTTTTAACCTCTCACCTTCGAGCTTTGACTATGCGAAGATTGTCAAGTGTTTTGAACATTTTTAGCATATGTATCACTAATTTCTAATCGCATACAAAGGTGTATGTTCATGTTTTCTTTTGTTTCATGTGCAGAGGCAGGTCTGAATCAAGAGCATCAGGTGTCGCGCCTCAATTAAGATTTTGAGTCTCCCAAGCCAAAAGTACGGTTGATTGTGGATTCTCGAAGACTGATTCATCAAGGCACAACCGTTGCACCCTTAATTTCACCCCTAATTTTTTCAGTCGCACATTCGTACCATATTTTGTCATTTAGTCACAATCATTAGTAAATATTTTCATTCATCATATTTTGCATCATTAGTCGTATTTAAGTTGACTAGAAAAGTCAGTTTAAATCAAAGTTTGCATCGTCTTTTAGTTAAAAAAATACCTGACATTTCACTTCATGCATTTTTATCTCTTTACTCGTTTCTTGCATTGCTCCAAGTTGTTTATGTGTCGATAATAAAAATATTTTGGTTTTATAGACAAACTGTTAAAAGCGATTCAACAATGTGCGAAAAATTAGCGAGAAAAATATTTCAAGTTTTCACCCTTTACCGATCATTTTATGAATCTGCGTTTCGTGTAGATTATGACGGTATGCTCGCCTTATTTTTTCGATACAATTTGAAGTCTCGTTTTTAACCGTAAACATCTGTTTTAGCCCGATATTTTTATTATCATTTTATTTTGATTTCGACTTTTTGAATATTTTTTATTTAATCTTTGTGACATGTAGTTTATTTTAATGTGTTCATATTAATTTTTCGGATAAATTTTCTTCCGTTTTTTTTATTGTTTTTAGTCATTTTGGGTCTTTATTTTTTATTCAGAAACGATTCAAAAAAATTATTTTAAATGGAGTTAATTTTAATATTTTTAGTCTTTTTGGTTATTTTTATCATTTAAGGGCTATTTGGTCACAAAATATATTATTTACACTATGCTCTATTCCTATTGGTTGTTGGATGAAATTGAGGATCGATACAAAATTGCCAAAACAGAATTGAAGTTTTGAACGGATGTGATTGAATTTCAGATTATATTTTTCCTTTTTCATTTCCTATATAAAGCCTCTTATTATCTTTGCGAAAAAGGAGGAGAATACACATACAGTAGCTAGCTTTTTGCCTCACTTTCTCATGTCATTCATTTACTACCCAGACTTCACTTTGTTTCCTTTTCCTCACACACTAAAACAACACTTACAGTAACACTAACCCATTTTTCTTCATTTGTTCCATCAACCCCATCATGGTTTATATCTAACAGCAAAAGCTTCCACACTCTATCAGTTTCCTCATCAAGATTAACTTTAGGTCGTGGGCGTTGTTTTTTGATGGGATCAAATGAGCCCTGAAAGGGAACAAGTGCAGTCTGCCCATATAAGGCAAGTTCTTTCCCTCCCGTGTTTATGTTTAGCTGTCTAAATTGCTCTGTTAATGCTTCAACATTATACGTTATTTTCTGCACTACTCTGCGAGCAGTACCTGCAATGCAAAATTACATTGTATAATTTGTCCTTTGGCATATGCTATGTTACCGACACAAAAATCAAGTGTTTAGTGGAAATACCTGATGGTTTCCCCAGTGTCAGCTGGTGATTTCCCAATGCAGAATTATGGCACTGTTGCATCTCATCTTTGTTAGGACGCATTGAACTTGAAAGAACACTTCTCTTTCTACTTCGCTTCTTTTTTGCACATGACACATGCATATCTTCAACTAAGACGTCAGTGCATGTTTGTGGTCTTTCTGCTTCTCTAATTGTTTGCCAGTCTGAATAGTCCAGTTGTTTTGCATTGTAATTTGGTTCAATGCAGTTTCTAATTCTCATTAGAGAATTATAGTCACAAGTTTGATTTGGTAATAGAGATATTTCTGCCATCCTTCTCAAAGATAATTTGAACTCATCAAATGTTTGAGTACTATGCATATGATTTTCTCTAGATTCATTTATGATTCGGCATACAGCTGCATTATATCCCAAACCATACATCCAGGAGCTGTTGTTTGATGCATAAGGATGCACTTGAGCATCTTCGGGAGCAAATATTGGTGGTACTCCATTTTTGGTATTCACAGAAGATGTAATATGAGTGTTAGAAGTTTTTCCCTTTTCAGTTCTCCTTTTCTTCTGGATATTTAGAAACTCAGGTGGAAACTTTGACTGGTATGAGTGAAATCCATTAGAGTGTGCCCCAATCAGATTCACGCTGCTGTTATTTGCATGTTCAGTGGTTCCAGAATGCTCTGTCTTAGCTCCAACAACAGCCGCGAATCCCCTCCTCACAACCGCAACAACAACCACGGTATGCCACTTCCGCTCAGATCCGTTAATCCTCACCACACCAATCCACACTCCTCTCTCCAACATTCACCATCACCATCACCACCGCACCAGCTTTCTGCCCACCATCTCGCCATGATACAGATCTGCATGATGGAAAATCAAGGCAAAAAAATAACAAAACGAGAAAGAAGTTAAACAAATCAGAGCAACACCAGAACGTCGCTCGATCCATCACCACCGTGTTCCTCAACATCCGCCTTCGACTGTCACGCATCTACCCATCCGCCGCAGCCAATGCTCCTCCTTTCAACCATCATTCTCCAACACACATTCGCCTCTGACGTGTACTTCCGGCGCCATGATTCCAAGCTATAGCCGTCACAACAACACCAGATCGTGTTCACCCTCATCATCAGCGATGTTGCGCTTCTTGCTTCAACTGCAACAACATTATCGCGCACCAGAATAAGCCCTGAACCATAACCAATCAAGCGGCGAGAGTTTCCACTAACTTTATAGCCACGCGTGTTGTTCAGGTTTTACTACACTTTTGTTTCTATTTGGCTTATGAAATATGGGTCTGTGATGTTAGGTATTAGAAAGAAAAGAATAAGACGCAGAGAAAACAATTTGGGGGGATTGGGAATTCATCATCGTGTAGTATATGTTTCCTTATAATGGGTGTTTTATTAATTTTTACAATTAAGTCGTTGCCAAGTGTCTTGAGGCAATTGGCAAGGTTACAAAGCTTTGAAAAGTCAAAAGAAATTTTTTTCTTCAGCATGCTGCTACGTGAAGAATTTGGAGCTTGCCACTGGTTATTGTTCTTCTATTCCTTTTTTATTTATTTTATTTATTACTTTATTTTATATCTTATCATCTCATTTTGTTTATTTATTATTTTTGCATATCATTAGTTAGAAATTAGGGTTAGTTTGTTTTTTGGCTTTGGGTCCAATTGAGTTTCCTTCCACTCTTTACTTATCTCTTAGCACCCCGTTTATTTTAGTTAATACATTTTTTTTTAGTTAATTAGATTAACCACTAGATCATTTAAATAATTTAATTTATATATAACTTATGATTAATTCCAAGGGAAATGTTTTTAACTTTGTTGACTTCATGTCATCAAATATATTTGTTACAATTGTGCGAATCCCTTCATTCATTTTTGTTTTATTATTATTGTTAACCTTAAGTTAATTTTCCTAAAAAAAACTGAATTTTACAACTCACACCTTTTAAGTCAAAACTTCGACACTAGGTCGTCGTATCTTCAAAAATCTCGTCCATACCCATCTTTTAGCCAAACGAATCATTTTAATCAAACAAACAATTTTAAACCAAAAAAACAGATATTTCAAAAGGTTCCTGCGGAGTACCGCAGATGCATTGGATGCTAATACCTTCCCACTACATAACCAACCCCCAAACTCTCAATCTCTTTTAAAAATGCATTGTATTTTCATCACTTTTAAATATTACTTTACATTGCATATTTTAGGGTTTTATTTCGCTCTTTTCCCTTTTCCCTTGGAAATAATAAAGCGCGGTGGCGACTCTTGCTTTTGCGAGTCAAGTTAATTAATAGCTTGATCTCCGATTTTCACCGCTACAGAATTGGCGACTCTGCTGGGGAATTATTGACCTCTTGTTGGTCCATCCTTAAGTGGGTTAAGCCTAATTTGTTTTATCTGTTTTATCATTATTTGATTGTTTGATTATATGTATATATTGTGATTATTTGGGTGTTGATAATATTTACAAAGGACAAGTCCTATACCCGGACTAAGTTACACTTAGGAATAGGACGGGCGGTATAGTCATGTTAACTTTGAGGGAGTAATCCCGAAGAAGGAGGCATGAGATCCCCCACTCAGTGGAAGGCCCTTTTGAACATAATATTTGTTTACCGAGTAATCAGGAAGACGTTATTATTTTCGACCTGGGAGCCAGAGAAGCTGGGAACCGTAGAACCCTAACCCATCTTGGCCTTTTAGGTGTAGCGCGGAGATTATAATGGAGTAATCCGGAAATAATTGTTACGCGATGCTACGCTCGGATGAGTTTCTCTTGAGAATATTGCTGATTATTGAGTAATCAAGACGTTGGTAATATCCGAAGGAGGAATGTAGACTCCGGGAACTCTTAGAACCTTGTTCTACAGGTGTGATTAAACCGTTAGTACATACCTTGGGGGTGTTCCTTACCTTGACTCCATGCTCGTGACGTTGAACCTTTCGACTTCATTTGTGACCTTGCTTGTGGTTGTTGCATAGCCATGCATTCATGCATCCATAAAACCCTTTTCACTTGACTTTGAAGGAATTTGGAGGTCTTTCTTTGTAAACATCACAAGTTTCGTCAAGCTCAATGGATCTTGGGTGTTGATAGGGCGAAAACCCTAATCCACCAAAATGGATGATTGATCTTGATGATAACTTGATCAATGTTTGGAGCCAATTTAAAATTCATCTTCTATCTTCATACTTTGATGTTTACAACTTAATATCTTGAGTTCCTTGAAAATCAAATAAAAACTCTCTTTTGCATATCATACATCATTCTACATTTTTTGTTTCACTTTCAAAGGTCTTTTCCAAGTCTTATTTTTCCTTTGGTCTCACCAGTACAACACTCGCGCTAAGAGAACAATGGAGGATATCAAGCAAGAGGTTTCTGAACTCCGTAGAGAGATGACTATTTTGAAAGCTAGTATGGAGCACTTAACTGGTTTGGTCGAAATTCTAGTTGCCTCCCAAGTCAATCCTTCTAGGAGGGAGGAAGCGATGATAAAAGTATTCACTGAAACTCTAAAATCATTCTCTCATGAGAAGATGATGGTTAATGCACCTAATGACTTTCCTGACAAGGCGAATATGGGAGTGCGTCTAGAAGAAGATGTCTGAAAGGGATGTTCATATGAAGATGGTAGCTCAGCTAATGGTGTGAAGAAGTTTGATAATAAATTTTCCAAGAAGAGAACCATAGGAAGAAAGAGTCACCGTCAGAATCATCACGTTTCTCCTATTCATCAACAGAATTAGCAAGTTCCTAATCAGAGGAAAACCCAGTTTGATCCAATTCCAATTACCTATACAGAGTTGTTCCCTATCCTGATGCAGAGGAATTTGGTTCAGACCTGACCTCCACCGAAGGTTCCTGAGAAGATACATTGGTACTACAAAGCTGATTTGGCTTGTACCTTTCATCAAGGTGCTCCTGGGCATAACTTGGAAGGTTGCTTTGCTTTGAAGATTGAGGTTCAGAAGTTGGTCAGAAGTGGTATCTTGTCATTCAAGGACGTTGTTTTTGAAGTTCAAATCAAGCACGTGCCGAAGAGTAAACACGATTGATGGTCACTTTGAGTTTTGAAAGATGTTTTCGGTGACTCAAGTCCAGATGGAAAGCCTTCCCCGATCATTAACTTATTTATGCTTTTTGTAATTTTTCTTGTTTATCAAAACATTGTTTGCATGTAAGAACTTGTTTGCATCTGTATGATTATCTTAATACAATGAGTATGTTTGTCTTGAAGAAATTCATTCGTTTCACTCATATTTGTTTTCAAATTTTAAATTTCTTTTGGCATTATGATACCAACTTGTTGCCCATTCTCTTGCCTAGGCAGAGATTGAAGGGAGGATGATGATCTAAAGAACACAAAATCTCTGGTTGCATGCTTTTGGATAAAATCTTGCTGATGATGTACAGGCATTGTTTCAAATCCATAAACACTGGAGATATAAGGAAGATAATCCCTTGCTAACCCCTTTTGAGCCTTTGAAGCAGAAGTTTCTTTTCTATACGAAAAAACCTTGAATTTTAACCCGGGGCAGGGTAGTTTTTAGTTAATCTGACTGAGTGTTCAAAATTCATAAGGAAGATGTTTTTTGAAGAGAAACTACGAGGGCTATCTTTCATGTATAATGAAGCCAGAAGATGTGGAATCACAATGTTATCCCTCATCCATCAAGAAACGAGGCAATCACAGTCTTCTCAACAAGCAAATGCAAGCTAATGTCACACATTTTGTTCAAAAAGTCAAAAATCGAGAAAAAGAAAAAGCCTGCTAAGTTAAAAACATGAAAACGTGTGACTTAGGCAAAATTAAGGCATCTCGCTGGACTATCAATTCAAAAAATTAGTTCAGGCAAAAATTAGGGAAAATAAAAATTGCAAAGAAAGGACTACAAAGAAAAGTCCTCAACAGAGAACAAATTGGTGACTACAAACACAAAGACATAAGGGTGGGTTCTACTCTGAAAGCCTTGTCGTTTCCTTGACCGTCATAAAATCCTTTTGAGAGATGAACACTCATGTTGAATTAACTGAACATAGGGTTGGAGAACATCATGAAGAATGGGTGGGCACCAAATATTTTGAGCCTTAAAATCTTTTTTCTAAAGCCATGAACCAGACCACGTTACAACCTTCAAAAGTCCTAATTGAAGCAAGGTTATTTTGAAAGCATACTTCAATGAGATAGTGTTCCTGACTCCCATGAATGTTCTAAATAGTTATGTGGGTATCATATGTTTTTCCTATAAAAAAATAAATGGTGCTTTAGCTCGCAAAATTTGTGCGATATCTTTCAAAATCTTCAAGACTTACATAACTGTTGCATTAGAATTTTCATTCTCATTGTAAACTTTTTCTAACTGCAAAACATTTGTTTGATATCAAGGAAGCTCATATAAGCACCAATGATGAGTCAGTTCTTAAGGCCTGAAACTATGTTGAGTAATTGGAGAATCATTTCAAAAAAATCATATCCAGGGGCATGTCACCTGAAGACCATAAGCACGAACATGTTGCTTCTCCCAGTTAATGCTTTCCCAAATTGTTTACCCTTTATTGGGGCAAAAGTTGAAGACTTTGTTGTGCCAACTACAGTCAATCCGGGGCAATCACATCGAGATTTGATGAATCTCTCTAAGAGTTTGAAGACACCAGAGCATAGTGAATGCCAGGTCTTTTGTAAAATCCTCTTGAGACGATTTCTCCTCATCAACCATATAGCTTGGGGCATTTTAGAAGTGAAGTTATTCGCAAGAATCGTCACGCAGCTTATCAGCAGTAAACTTGGGGCATCCAAAATTAATCCCAGGGGCAATCCAGATTTGTCAAGATATGTTTTTCATACATTATCAGAGGGTGGTGTTCCCAATATCTCTAGCTAAGCAAGATTTCTTTCCAGCTGAAACTTTGTTGTGTTGTTATCCTTTCAATGGATTGTTTGCAATAGAAGACTGGACTTTGGGTTTTCTACCTGAAAATATCTTCCTCTTCAGAGGTATTTAAGCCTTGTAAAAGGACCTTGCTCCAATGATGGCCTGTGTTTTATCTCCAGTAATGTTACCCTTTTGTTGAGATTAGCTGAGCGTCGGGTTGTACTGGGACGTCTTATCATCTTCTGTCTATCTCGCCTGTCTGTTTTGTCAACATATACATGACATTTATTCATTCGTTCATACTTGCATCATGCACGCACATTTGGATTTGTTGATATCTTTGAGTTCGTATACCTTGGTTATGTCTATTCAAATAGCATATTTGATCTTTCCAAATAGAGTGTCAACTTAAGCAGAAAGTGCGCCTCTTTTCTAATTCCCCACTGAGTTAACCCTCGTGGAAGAATCTTGCTTTAGCTTTCCTTTTCCAACTCTGGACAGGATAAATCCCCATTTTGAGTTGTTTCCTCATTGGGTGGAGTCTTGTTTGACTATTTTCTCTCCAGTTTATTCCTGGATTGAGCTTTGTCTCTTGTGAATGATACCCTGTGGATCTCTCTAGGCTGTGAAACCTAGATGGAGAGTGTATTTATTTTGCAACGTAAATACTTGGTCTCCTCATAAAGGATTTATTCATGGTTCCCCATTGAAGATGAACTTTATTCCCCAGCAGTGTCATCACAACCTTCTTCTGGAATATCGACATAACAACAAGCGACTGACTCTTTATTTGAGCAGTTTGATTATTTCTGATTTCTCTACGACAAATGGCGGTCTCTTCATGAGCAGTTTGTCCATCCTCGATGAAATTATTGATTCTCACCTCCAGCAATATCTTCACGATATTTTATGGGTATCTTTTTGGGAAACAGCAAGCGGCGGTCTCTTCATGAGCAACTTGTGTGTTATGGATACTCTTGACAAACAGCAAGCGGCGGTCTCTTCATGAGCAACTTGTGTGTTATGGATACTCTTGACAAACAGCAAGCAACGGTCTCTTCATGAGCAACTTGTGTGTTATGGATACTCTTGACAAACAGCAAGCGGCGGTCTCTTCATGAGCAACTTGTGTGTTATAGATACTCTTGACAAACAGCAAGCAGCGGTCTCTTCATGAGAAACTTGTGTGTTATTTTTCTCTTGAAAAACAATAAGCGGCGGTCTTTTCATGAGAAACTTGTATGTTATTGATACCTTGAAAGAAACAGCAAGCGGCAGTCTCTTCATGAGCAACTTGTATGTTATTGATACATTTAAAAAACAGCAAGCGGCAGTCTCTTCACGAGGAAACTTGTATATTATTGACACCTCGAAAAACGGAAAGTGGCAGTCCTTTCATGGGTAGCTTGTATGTTATTTTTTCTTTTGAAAACGGCAAGTGGCAGTCCTTTCATGGGTAGCTTGTACGTTATTTTTTTCTTTTGAAAACGGCAAGTGGCAGCTTATCTATTTGAGCAACTTGTGTGTTATTGTTACCTTGAAAACGGTAAGTGGCAGCTTCTTTATGAGCAGCTTGTGGGTTATTGGCAACAAGTGGCAGACTCTTCATGAGCAGCTTGTGTACTTTGATATTCTTTGAAGACAACAAATGGCGGACTCTTCATGAGCAGCTTGTGTGCTTTAATATTCTTTGAAGACAACAAGTGGCGGTCTCTTCATGAGCAGCTTGTATGTTATTGACACCTTTGAAAGGAAGCAAGTGGCGGCCTCTTTATTTGAGCAGCTTGTGTATCCCCAACAATAATGTCTACTCAGCAAATGGCATCCCTTTCGGAAAAGTCCCGTGGGGAAGTTTGTTATTTTATCCTTTTCAAGCGATATCTTGGTTAAAGAAGAAATGTGTTACCGTTCTTGGTAAAATTCATAAATCAGAGATGTTTATCTCCGGCCACAGTGCTGATGTCAATCATTTTCCAGTCTCAGTACTAATGTCCATCATTTCCTTTTCCAGTCACAGTACTGATATCAATCATATGCTTTTCCAGTCTCAGTACTGATGTAAATCATTTCCTTTTCCAGTCACAGTGCTGATGTAAATCATTTCTTTTTCCAGTCTTCGTACTGATGTAAATCATTTCTTTTCCAGTCTCAACACTGATGTAAATCATTCAAGAGTCTCTTATTTGAAGTCTATGACTCTGTTTCCCCAGTGGAGTTACGACCTCTTCCTCTGTGGGATTACTGTATAATGTGCTTGGTTTCTCCAGCATAGTCTGTCTCATATGGCGTCATTCCCCATAAAATGCAGAGCATTACATTCATATCATATCATGAACATAATCGCGGTATCTTAAGGCCAAAAATTGTGTATCCTATATTTAAGTCCCTTCAATCTCGTCGAAATGAAGATCCCAATCTTCATATCTCCAGATAGAAGAAACTTAAATAGGGGCAGCTGTTGTACCCCAATTTTTGACCTAAGATCCCATTTTTGTTTTTTGCATTTTTTTAAGATAAGTCAAGGTCACGAAATAAGGTTGGTTTTAACCTCTCACCTTCGAGCTTTGACTATGCGAAGATTGTCAAGTGTTTTGAACATTTTTAGCATATGTGTCACTAATTTCTAATCGCATACAAAGGTGTATGTTCATGTTTTCTTTTGTTTCATGTGCAGAGGCAGGTCTGAATCAAGAGCATCAGGTGTCGCGCCTCAATTAAGGTTTTGAGTCTCCCAAGCCAAAAGTACGGTTGATTGTGGATTCTCGAAGACTGATTCATCAAGGCACAACTGTTGCACCCTTAATTTCGCCCCTAATTTTTTCAGTCGCACATTCGTACCATATTTTGTCATTTGGTCACAATCATTAGTAAATATTTTCATTCATCATATTTTGCATCATTAGTCGTATTTAAGTTGACCAGAAAAGTCAGTTTAAATCAAAGTTTGCATCGTCTTTTAGTTAAAAAAATACTTGACATTTCACTTCATGCATTTTTATCTCTTTACTCGTTTCTTGCATTGCTCCAAGTTGTTTATGTGTCGATAATAAAAATATTTTGGTTTTATAGACAAACTGTTAAAAGCGATTCAACAATGTGCGAAAAATTAGCGAGAAAAATATTTCAAGTTTTCACCCTTTACCGATCATTTTATGAATCTGCGTTTCGTGTAGATTATGACGGTATGCTCGCCTTATTTTTTCGATACAATTTGAAGTCTCGTTTTTAACCGTAAACATCTGTTTTAGCCCGATATTTTTATTATCATTTTATTTTGATTTCGACTTTTTGAATATTTTTTATTTAATCTTTGTGACATGTAGTTTATTTTAATGTGTTCATATTAATTTTTCGGATAAATTTTCTTCCGTTTTTTTTATTGTTTTTAGTCATTTTGGGTCTTTATTTTTTATTCAGAAACGATTCAAAAAAATTATTTTAAATGGAGTTAATTTTAATATTTTTAGTCTTTTTGGTTATTTTTATCATTTAAGGGCTATTTGGTCACAAAATATATTATTTACACTATGCTCTATTCCTATTGGTTGTTGGATGAAATTGATGATCGATACAAAATTGCCAAAACAGAATTGAAGTTTTGAACGGATGTGATTGAATTTCAGATTATATTTTTCCTTTTTCATTTCCTATATAAAGCCTCTTATTATCTTTGCGAAAAAGGAGGAGAATACACATACAGTAGCTAGCTTTCTGCCTCACTTTCTCATGCCATTCATTTACTACCCAGACTTCACTTTGTTTCCTTTTCCTCACACACTAAAACAACACTTACAGTAACACTAACCCATTTTTCTTCATTTGTTCCATCAACCCCATCATGGTTTATATCTAACAGCAAAAGCTTCCACACTCTATCAGTTTCCTCATCAAGATCAACTTTAGGTCGTGGGCGTTGTTTTTTGATGGGATCAAATGAGCCCTGAAAGGGAACAAGTGCAGTCTGCCCATATAAGGCAAGTTCTTTCCCTCCCGTGTTTATGTTTAGCTGTCTAAATTGCTCTGTTAATGCTTCAACATTATACGTTATTTTATGCACTACTCTGCGAGCAGTACCTGCAATGCAAAATTACATTGTATAATTTGTCCTTTGGCATATGCTATGTTACCGACACAAAAATCAAGTGTTTAGTGGAAATACCTGATGGTTTCCCCAGTGTCAGCTGGTGATTTCCCAATGCAGAATTATGGCACTGTTGCATCTCATCTTTGTTAGGACGCATTGAACTTGAAAGAACACTTCTCTTTCTACTTCGCTTCTTTTTTGCACATGACACATGCATATCTTCAACTAAGACGTCAGTGCATGTTTGTGGTCTTTCTGCTTCTCTAATTGTTTGCCGGTCTGAATAGTCCAGTTGTTTTGCATTGTAATTTGGTTCAATGCAGTTTCTAATTCTCATTAGAGAATTATAGTCACAAGTTTGATTTGGTAATAGAGATATTTCTGCCATCCTTCTCAAAGATAATTTGAACTCATCAAATGTTTGAGTACTATGCATATGATTTTCTCTAGATTCATTTATGATTCGGCATACAGCTGCATTATATCCCAAACCATACATCCAGGAGTTGTTGTTTGATGCATAAGGATGCACTTGAGCATCTTCGGGAGCAAATATTGGTGGTACTCCATTTTTGGTATTCACAGAAGATGTAATATGAGTGTTAGAAGTTTTTCCCTTTTCAGTTCTCCTTTTCTTCTGGATATTTAGAAACTCAGGTGGAAACTTTGACTAGTATGAGTGAAATCCATTAGAGTGTGCCCCAATCAGATTCACGCTGCTGTTATCTGCATGTTCAGTGGTTCCAGAATGCTCTGTCCTAGCTCCAACAACAGCCGCGAATCCCCTCCTCACAACCGCAATAACAACCACGGTATGCCACTTCCGCTCAGATCCGCTAATCCTCACCACACCAATCCACACTCCTCTCTCCAACATTCACCATCACCACCGCACCAGCTTTCCGCCCACCATCTCGCCATGATACAGATCTGCATGATGGAAAATCAAGGCAAAAAAATAACAAAACGAGAAAGAAGTTAAACAAATCAGAGCAACACCAGAACGTCGCTCGATCCATCACCACCGTGTTCCTCAACATCCGCCTTCGACTGTCACGCATCTACCCATCCGCCGCAGCCAATGCTCCTCCTTTCAACCATCATTCTCCAACACACATTCGCCTCCGACGTGTACTTCCGGCGCCATGATTCCAAGCTATAGCCGTCACAACAACACCAGATCGTGTTCACCCTCATCATCAGCGATGCTGCACTTCTTGCTTCAACTGCAACAACATTATCGCGCACCAGAATAAGCCCTGAACCATAATCAATCAAGCGGCGAGAGTTTCCACTAACTTTATAGCTACGCGTGTTGTTCAGGTTTTACTACACTTTTGTTTCTATTTGGCTTATGAAATATGGGTCTGTGATGTTAGGTATTAGAAAGAAAAGAATAAGACGCAGAGAAAACAATTTGGGGGGATTGGGAATTCATCATCGTGTAGTATATGTTTCCTTATAATGGGTGTTTTATTAATTTTTACAATTAAGTCGTTGCCAAGTGTCTTGAGGCAATTGGCAAGGTTACAAAGCTTTGAAAAGTCAAAAGAATTTTTTTTCTTCAGCATGCTGCTACGTGAAGAATTTGGAGCTTGCCACTGGTTATTGTTCTTCTATTCCTTTTTTATTTATTTTATTTATTTTATTTATTACTTTATTTTATATCTTATCATCTCATTTTGTTTATTTATTATTTTTGCATATCATTAGTTAGAAATTATGGTTAGTTTATTTTTGGGCTTTGGGTCCAATTGAGTTTCCTTCCACTCTTTACTTATCTCTTAGCACCCCGTTTATTTTAGTTAATACATTTTTTTTTAGTTAATTAGATTAACCACTAGATCATTTAAATAATTTAATTTATATATAACTTATGATTAATTCCAAGGGAAATGTTTTTAACTTTGTTGACTTCATGTCATCAAATATATTTGTTACAATTGTGCGAATCCCTTCATTCATTTTTGTTTTATTATTATTGTTAACCTTAAGTTAATTTTCCTAAAAAAAACTGAATTTTACAACTCACACCTTTTAAGTCAAAACTTCGACACTAGGTCGTTGTATCTTCAAAAATCTCGTCCATACCCATCTTTTAGCCAAACAAATCATTTTAATCAAACAAACAATTTTAAACCAAAAAACAGATATTTCAAAAGGTTCCTGCGGAGTACCGCAGATGCATTGGGTGCTAATACCTTCCCACTACATAACCAACCCCCGAACTCTCAATCTCTTTTAAAAATGCATTGTATTTTCATCACTTTTAAATATTACTTTACATTGCATATTTTAGGGTTTTATTTCGCTCTTTTCCCTTTTCCCTTGGAAATAATAAAGCGCGGTGGCGACTCTTGCTTTTGTGAGTCAAGTTAATTAATAGCTTGATCTCTGATTTTCACCGCTACATGAGGTACCCCTTAATGTGATAGTTGATGAGGCAGAAGTTGTGCTTGAGGAGATGTTGAATGAAATTGATGGAAGGGAAGATGGTGTTAGGGAAGATGATGTTAGCATGGATGGTGTTAGGGAAGATGATATTAGGGAAGATGGTGTTCATTGGACTTGATGGATGTTTTTTGAAAGGCCTTTGTGGGGGTCAAATACTTGCAGCCATATGCAGAGATCCCAATGATCAAATGCTACCAATAGTATATGCAGTGGTGGATAGTGAAAATAAGGATAGTTGGACATGGTTCTTAGAGCTGCTTATTGATGATCTTGGTGGAAGATAAGAGTGTCTCACATACACTTTTATCTCTGATCAACAAAAAGTATAGCTCTGTTTTTAATTTTTATTGATAGGTATTTCATGTTACATTTTTATGACTTAGGGATATTGCCTGCAATGAAAGAATTGCTGCCTAGAGTTGAACAACAGTTTTGTGTTAGGCATCTCTACAATAACTTCAGGAAGAGGTATCCAGGAAAAAAATTAAAGGAAATAATATGGAAAGCTGCCAAGTCAACTTACTACGAAGCTTGAGAACGAGAGGTGAAAGTAATGAAAGAGCTCAATGGAAAAGCATACAAACACATGATTAGCACCTCCTCCAAGATTTTGGAGCAGATCATACTTCAAGACTGATAACAAGTGTGTTGTTGTTCTCAATAATATGTCAGAAACATTTAACAGTGTCATCCTAGAGTCTAGGGTCAAGCCTTTGATAACCATGATGGAAGAAATTAAGATATACATGATGGAAATATGGGCTACAAACAGGATGAGGTTTGAGAAATTGGCAGATGTTAAAGTGTTGCCTAACATTATGAAGAAGGTCGAAAAAACAAGTTCATACACAAACATGTGGCTTATTAGGTAAATTGCTTTAAACAAATTTCTTTAAAGTGTATATATTTGAAGTGTATTTATATTTAGAATGTATATTTATATGTTAGGATGTCTGATGAGCATATATTTGAAGTGAGGCATTTGGAAAACTCAACTGAAAAATTCACAGTCAACCTGAAGGAAAAGTATTGTTCATGCAGAAGATGGGAGCTAACAGGCCTGCCTTGTGTTCATTCACTTGCAATAATCAAAAGTAGGAACCACAAGATTGATGACTACATTCTTGATTACTACAGGAAAGCAAGATATATGCAAGTGTACAAACCTGTAATATATCTTGTTAATGGCTCAAACATGTGGATAAGAACAGAGTATCATGATATTTTGCCCCCTAAATTTAGGAAAATTTTTGGAAGACCAAAAAAATGAGGAATTTGGAACAATGTGAGATAGATGGTTCTGATAAAAAGATGAGAAGGATATGATTCATTATAAAGTGTAGCAGGTGTAAGAAAGCATGACACAACAAGCTTACTTGCAAGGTATCACCTACTAGTCAAGCATCCCAGCCAACTCAAGCATCTCAGCCATCTCAAGTATCTTATCCAACTCAGGCATCTCAGCCAGCTCAAACATCTCAGCCAACTCAAGCATCTCAGTCAGCTCAAGCATCCCAACCAACTCAGGCATCTCAGCCAACTGCTTCTCAATCATCTAAGAAAGTGAATCCCAAATCTAAAAAGTTGCAAGTTAGAAGGTCAAATGCACCTTTTGTCTCACCTGGTTCAACAACTAGGTTGAATGCATCTAAAACTGTTGTAGGTCCAACAACAAGAAGGAAGACACCTACTAAGAGAGCCGCAACAAAATGGAAAAATTAGATTAATATCTTTAATGTAATAGTTATGTTAGGTTATGTTAACTTAATTAAGCTATTTTAAAGTGTTTTGAATTTGTACTATCTAGTGTTGTTTTGGACCTGTCATATCAGGTTTCTTGGACATGTAAAGTATGGTTTTGGGATCTGTAATAGTAGTGTTTTTGGACCTGTAATATCAGGTTTTTTGAACATGAAATTTATGAATATTAGTCGTATCCACCACCTTATGTATTGTTGTTGACTTTATTCAATTGATTTTGTATATGTTATGGTATGATTTCATTCAAAATGTTACACCAGTTACTGAAATTTACAAAATTCATCAAAAATACAGTTCCAAAATTACACCAATTTCATACTGGAATTTACAACAGTTTCATACAGTTGCATACTGGAATTTACACCAGTTCCAAAATTTATTACAAAATGTTACAAATAAAACATACAAATTCATCAATTAACAACATCATATTCTTTTCAAATGATATTACAAACGATACTGGAATTTACAACATCACCCAAATGACAAAAATTAACAACATACAGAACATTCTTTTCCATTTTTTTCTTCGGAATTCATCATTTTCTTCATTTCAATTTGTAACCCCCTTATCTTTTGTTTCAGTCCATCCTTTTGTTCCTTTAAAGACAGTATCTCCGTTTTTGCTGCATCAAGGTCATTTTGAAGCTTCTCCAACCTACTATTTTGTTTCTTTATAAACTGTTCTTTCTCATCCACAACATCATCATATAACCATTAAAAGTATCTACATCCATTTTCAGATGAACCCTGTGTCATTCCAAATTTAGATACATCAGAAAAAATAATATGAATAAGCCATTTCATTTCTTTCTTACCTTATAATGACGACAGTCCCAAAACTGCTTCTCAAAATTCGTGTGAGTTGAAGCCTTTCAAAGAACAGTCGTGTCTCCATAGCCACGCGTGGGTTTCCATCGCAAATTACCATCTAAACATCCATCGTTATTGACCTTCGAATCGTATGAACACTGACCTGAGTACGCTAATGATGATTGCTTCATTTTTCTCAAGAAATTACATAATCATAAGGGGAAGAAAATTGTTGAACTCTAGAATTTGGGGGAGTCTGGGGTAGAAGAGAAAGAAATGGGCGATGCAGACTTGAAGAGAATGAAGAAGATGACATAACATTCCACATCAGCTGCCACGCATACAAAACAAACGTCTGTTTGTGCCTTTTGGACGGAAAGGACTACTGTGGTCCTTTTTGAACAATTAAAGGACTACTTTGGAATTTTTTAAAGATAAGGGACCAAAATGAACCCAGAGGTAAAGTTAAGAGACTAAAAAGGGTATTTTGCGTAACTTTTTTAATATTAAATTTAGGGTCTGTTTGTTATGAGTGAAATGAAAGAGAGAGAAGTTGAGAAGAAACGTTAAATTTTATTTGTTTGGTTTGAGAGAATGAAATGAAAGAGAATGACAAGTGTGAGACCCACATCTAATTTTAATCTTTTCACAATAGAGAAAAAAGTGAGAAGAGAAGAATCATCTCTAAAAAATACCTTATTGTCCTTTGTTTTAATATGTATTTTTATTACTTGTTTTTTTTTCTTTTCAATATTTTGTTCCCTTTTTTACCGAATGAACCATATACTTGTGAAGAAATGTTTATGGAATTGAAATAAGTCTATTTATTTGATCATAAGTACAAACAAT